ACGCGAAGACAAAACTAACATGAGTTTAGGGAGAAGGCGTAGGTATAGTGTGTTGCATTGGGATGGAATGACTTAGGGACGGAGCTACAACTTACGTGTACTTTTAGATCAGCTGACCTCAATACAATTTGCCAAAACCTTATAAATTAACCGCTTAATGATTGATTTAACTGATGAATTGATGATGAGTAGAACCGACTTAGTGATCTTAGTGCCTAGCTCTCCCCTGATGTTAGAAGTGAGGAAGGGTTTTAGGGCGACAAGAGAAAAAATGTGCTATAGCCTCGGCGAGCCGATCTGCTCTAAGCCTAAACAAGGCTCATGTAGCCCAATCCCGTTCATCGCCTTCAACCTTGACTCGAGCTCAAACGCTTGGGCATCAGGTGTCGCTGGTTGGCAGTACCAGGTGGGAAGGGACACCGCCACATGGAAGTATGTGTGGGGGTTGGGGGGGGTTCCCACCCATAGGGGAGGTAGGGCAGCCACCCGACCTCTCCCTATGGGTCGGTCCGCCTTTAGCTAGAGGTCTAGGGAAGACTAAAGTTTTGATAGGAAAACCTAAATAAATATATGCACTCCTAGGAGGGATGCATAATGGTGGCAAGACATAGACATATTTTTCTCGGACCCATAAGGATACCATTTGGTAAGGCTCTGACGCCCTGTGGAACGACTACCACCAACTTCGACTCCAACTACCACTTGTACTATAGCAACATTATTCACATATTGTGTCCAATACTATTTTTATCTCTTTCGCAAAATCACATAGGAGCTAGTGAAGACACTTTTTTTTTGCTTCACAAGCCCCGGCTCCTCTCACTTCTTATGCTACGATGCATAAGTTGGAGCAGATGTGAGAAATAAACCTATTGTGGCATATAGGTTGGTTTAGGTCAGGTTTGGCTCCCATCATACATGAGGATGACTAGGACACTCTAAACTCAGAAACTAGATGGTTTCTATGTTGTGTCAACTAAGCAAAAAAAAATGATGTGACATTGTAATTACGGAAGAGAGAGAGGATGAAATAGTTTATTAAACAAGAAACTATGTCTATAGAAACCAAGATACGAAAAGATGTCATTGATAGATGTCTTAAACAAAAATGATTTTTTTTTACAAAAACATCTATTGGGATATGGTTTTTGTCTCTAGTGTTTACGTGATTTAGTAATAAGTATAGAAACTATCTCAAAATTTGTAAGTTGGGACTACACTTATGTTAGCTTGGCATGTTTTATACGGTCAGAAGCAGTCGATTTTTTTTTGCCGCCAACATTTCTGCATTGACTTTGTCAATGTGGCTTGAACATGTGCTTCAGCCTTCAGCTTCACCGATATGCATTGAGTTCTGCTTAGCATTTCTGTATTTTTAACGTCCACGGCCAAGGGAATCTACGGTCTACGGATGATCGAGATCAGCAAACCTTGTCTTGCTCACATACCGATTCTCAGCACCGGTGGTCACAGGGTATGACAGCGCTCTAGTACCCTCCCGCTCTGTTTGTAGCGCATTTCTTCGCAACCACCGTCGCATGCAATTAATTACTTATCAAGTAGCGGAGCATCCGATCCAAAGACCGTGTGTTATTATTTGATCAAAGACGCTGTGCACAGGCGTGCCTACGTAGCTTGCCTCTTTCGCCGTCGTCCAAAATCAGAACCCAGAGGTAATTAATACAGCTACTCCGAGATCTGGGCCGGGGTACCAATTATGCAGCATCGCCTTTTTGTCCTGTCACGTACACGGTACACGTCACCGCCAACGATGTGGAACGCGACCGGTATAGGAGTATCTCGCATATATGGATGGTGCAGTCCCTTTCCATCTCCCTTCGCGCACTGTACTACGACAGGCGAGCGGAAATGCGTCAAGCACTGGATGAAAAAACGGTGCAGTTCTCGTACACAAGCAATTTGGTACGTATATATGAAACTAGCTCTTCAGTCGAAGTTAAGGTAAATTAAACAAAGCTTAACTCACGACCTTTTCCGTTTTCTAAAACTCATTAGTCACCGCACCTGTCAAACAACCGTTGATTACTTGATTAGCTATCGCAACTCACGCAGACTAATAAAATAGCTAAAGTGAACCTCTCCGGACCAATAAGAACTTCAGAAGGCTAATAATAAGGGTCAATTGCAAAGACAGAATAACCCAATTGCAATTTGGCACGTGCCGACGTCGTAAGATAAACGAAAAGAACGGAGGATTAGGCAGATGACCTGGCGATAACACAAATGACAAATGTATAGAACACTACTGCTAGCGGTCGATCGTCAGTGCTGATTGTCGCTGATCACACAAGTGGGATTATAAAATCAACATAAATTGATCAACGTTGCTAATATATAAGTTCCACGGAGCATTGGAACATACACCAAGATCGCATTTGGAGTTCAAAGGGGGCATTGAACTAAGAACTTACACCGTGCATGTTAAGGTGTTTTAGTTTTGGCAAACACCTTCTTTTTCCTGCGACCATAACCATGGCGCCGGAGCACGACCTTGGCGCCCCTTCACCAACCCTCCCAGTGGTCATACATACTCCACGAACTCGATGCCTCGCCATCTTATCCACCAGCCTCTTTTATCGATAGTCCGGCCAACCTTCCTCCTTCACCCTACCCTCTAAAACTCAAAATCCCCAACTCCTAAACTAACCCTAAAATTCCAAGTCCAATAATAAATACTTGTTAGATAGGCTTGATCTCACTCGAGAAGGAAGAGATAGGCAAATCTTAACAAAGCTAGTGAGTAGGGTCAAGATTGGAGTGAGAATTTTTTTGGGTGGGGGTGGGGGGTATAGGTAGTTCGATCCAACGCAACACCTATGTGTTACATAGCAAATCCATACACAAAAAAAAAGATTTGTAACATGAAAAATATTTATAGATTTATTGTCTTGACTCATCCTTCTAAACCACTATCGCCCTGTTCGCTTTCACTTATTTATGTTCGTATTTTTTTCAATACCAACGAACAATATTTTCTCTCTCACAACAAATCAGCCAACAATACTTTCATCCATGATTTATCAATAATGAGCGAACAGGACATATATATTTAATAAAATCACCATATAATTATGCTCCAAAAAATAATGATGAAATACATACGTGAGAGAACACATATTTGATACGTCAGGTAATTTTAAAACAAATAGCGAGGTAGTATGTCTCAACATTCATCTCTATATATAGCATGTTTGGATGCATGCTTGGCCTAGGCAATGATCCCAGGCTCGCAGCCTAGCAGTGAAATACTGCCTAGGCCATGGAGACGCTTAGCAGGGGCGGAGCCTAGTGGTGGCCAAATCCCCACCCCCTACCGTGTGAAGCTTCTAGGTAATTAAGGGCCTACTTAATACATGGGCTAATCACTAGCTAGCTAAAATTAGCTCTAGTGTATCTAAACAGAAAGGTTAATAGGTGCGTAATTTTCGTAGTTTATTTAAGAATTGTAGATGTGCTTACGTACCATTTTCGTCCCGTACTGATTCAGCACGGTCCGAAATATGGGACGAGCTATAAAGACGATGTGCTCCACCCTCTCGTTCTGTTGTACCGGCATGATTTACTGTTACGCAGTTATGCTTGCAATTTTTCGGAGTGGCTAATGTGACCTGTTTAGTACTACGACGCACGTGTGCCAACGCGTTCTTGGTTTACCACGGCACACCGGTAAGGAGTAGAGGACGCAAATCCATCGAAGGCACTCACGTTCGGCTGTTCTTCCTGTATCCCAGGCTCCACCGCTCCAAGTTGCAACGTACAGATAGAAATATAAAGTGGAAATTGGTTTTATAGCATTAAAAGATCACGAAATTCGAAAAATACCACTGAAAGAACTCTGTTACGTAAAATACCACGGAAAGATCGAACCGTTATCCGAAAGTAGCATTCCGTCCGGTTTGAAGGTAACAGCGTCAGTACCGTCGATTCCCGTCCATCTAATAAAGGCAAAAAAAAAATCCAGCCCCCAGCTACTTGAGCTGGACATGGAAGATGCAGGGCGGCACCGGCAACAGCTGGCGCGCGCGGGACGGCGGTGTCCGCATCGAGGAGGGCATATCGGCAGCTCGAGCAGTGCATTGCGGCGGCGCTTCATGTGCGTGGCCGGCCGGCGGTGTCTCGCTTGCGGGCGCGCAGTGGCTCGAGTAGCGTGGCCCGGCGGAGGTTCGCGCACAGGTGCGCGACAACTCGAGCAGGGCGGTCTGGCGGCTACTCGTGCTCCGGCACACGGCGGCTCGAGCAAGGTGGCCCGGCGGGCTGCTCGCGCATAGGCACGCGACAGCTCGAGCAAGTTGGGCGCGAGCAGCGGCGGTCGAGCGTGAGCAAAATCACCGGCGAAGATTAGACCTCCTGAATCCACAGTTGAATCCGCGCAGCATGGACCCGTGCAGCATGGACTCGAAGAAGACGCTATGGAAACGAGGCAAAGAAACAGCCTTGGGCAGATGTCCTGCTGGCCTGTTGACCCAGTGGGGTACCCATCATGGAATTTGTGGTGTGGATTGGCTCGGCGGTCGCTCGTGCAAGTGTTTTTTTTTCGGTGTGACCTACGCCGAAGCTGAGGAAGACGAAAGGGATGAGATTTCTATTGGTGCTCACGTGGGAAGAAGGGAGGAGCAACGGTGGATTCACGTCGTTACCTCAGCGTGACAAAATGGTAGTTTCAGGTAACAGATTATTATTTTTGTGGTATTTCACATGGCCATGACATTTGAGTGGTATTTTTCGAATCTCATCATCTTTAGATGCTATGAAACCAATTTTCCCAAATAGAAAAGCACGTAGAACCAGCAAAACAAGGTGAATTGGCAAATCCATCCTGCCACTCTGCCAGGTAGCCAAATTACAGCTTAACACACCTGAGGAAGCAAGCTGCGAAGGTCCTGCATCCTGCCCATATAAATACTGCTTCCGGCGTCTCTGACCTGCAACTTACGGGCATCCAATTGCAGAGACAAGCACTCAAACACACTATCGCGGCAATGGCCGAGACGGCCGACGCCCCGCTCCTGACGAGCCACAAGCAGGCCAAGCTGGCCAAGGCGCCGTCCATCGACGACACCATCGAGACGTACATCGGCGCGACCGGTTCCATGCAGCTGCTTAAGGCCGTTCTGCTGGCATTCGCGTGGGCCTTCGACGCGCAGCAGGTGTTCATCTCCGTGTTCACGGACGCGGAGCCGGAGTGGCACTGCACGGGCGCCTCGGCGTCCTGCTCGCCGGCCGCACCCCCGGCCTCGCCGTGCGCGCTCCCCTCTGGCGCGTGGGCGTGGGACCGGCCGGCCGAGACGACGGTGGTCTCCGAGTGGGCGCTCAAGTGCGCCGGCCCGGCCCTCGTCTCGCTCCCGGCGTCGTCGTTCTTCGCCGGCTGCCTGGCGGGCGGGTTCCTGCTCACCACGCTCGCGGACTCGCTCCTCGGGCGCAAGAAGATGCTGCTCACTTCCCTGGTGTCCATGTCCGTCGCCGGCGTGCTCACCGCGTTTGTGCCGAACGTGTGGGCGTACGCCGCGCTGCGGTTCGTGTCCGGGTTCGGCCGCTCCATGGTGGGCACGTGCACGCTGGTCCTGTCCACGGAGCTCGTCGGGAAGAGGTGGCGCGACACGGTGAGCGTGGCCGGCTTCATCTTCTTCACCGTCGGGTTCCTGTCCCTCCCGGCGCTCGGCTACACGTTCCGCGAGGCGTCATGGCGGAACATGTACCTCTGGACGTCCGTGCCTTCGCTCTGCTACTCCGTCATACTTTACTTTCTCGCCCAGGAGTCGCCGCGGTGGCTGCTGGTGCGCGGCAGGAAGCAGGACGCCATGGAGACGCTGCAGCAGATCGCGTCGCTCAATGGCAACAGCATCACGTCCAGCTTCTCCATGCTGCACGCGTGCAACATGCAGGAGGACGACGGAGGCGCCGGCGGAGCCGGGGCCGTGTTCTCCACGATGCGGGCGATGTGGGAGCGGCCGTGGGCGCTACGGAGGCTGGCGGCGATCATGACGACCGCCTTCGGCGTCGGCATGGTCTACTACGGCATGCCACTCAACGTCGGCAGCCTGGGGACCAACCTCTACCTGAGCGTCACGTACAACGCTTTGGTTGAGCTGCCGTCGGCCATCCTGTCGTTGATCTTCATCGGCCGGATCAACCGGCGGAGCTCGGTCGTCGCGCTCACCGTGGCGGCCGGTGCCTTCAGCCTCGCGTGCGTCGTCATCCCAGAGGGCTCGGCGGCGCGTATGGCGGGCGAGTTGCTCTCCTTCTTCTCGACCATCACGGCGTTCAACCTCATCCTGATCTACTCCATCGAGCTGTTCCCGACGTCCGTGCGCAACTCGGCGGTGGGGCTGGTGCGGCAGGCACTGGTGCTGGGCGGCGTGGTCGCACCCATGCTCGTCGCGCTCGGCCGCGAGCGGAGCTTCTGGTCCTTCGGCGTGTTCGGGCTCTGCATCGGATGCTTGGGGCTCTTCGCCGCCTGCCTCCCGGAGACCAGGGGGCGGAGCATGTCGGACACCATGGAGGAGGAGGAGCACAAGGAGGCCGCCGCTGCGGCTTGCACCAGTGCAACCGACATCGCCACGAAGGATGATAGCGACCTCGTGTAGCAACGTTCGTGTGGTGATGACGTTTCGGCGGCGCGGCTAGATATGTACAAGTACAGCAGGTCAATCACGAAGCTGTCAGGCTGCCTCTATCCAGTCTTGTATAATTCAGTTTCAGAACCAGTTGTTGAGTGTCTGCATAAGGTTAACAGAAATGCTATACAACATATGTGTGTTCTAGCAAAAAAAAAACATATAAATTTTTTTTATCTCTCTTCCTCTCTCTTTCTAACCGGTGACCGCCGGCGACGGCGACCGGTGAGCTTGCCCCGGCGCCTGCGCCCTCTCCCGGCGCGCCTCCCGCGCCCGCGCCGGCCATGGCGGTGGCGGTGGCAGCGGATCTATGATTTATCCTTTCATAGAAAAAAAATTGTGATCCGTGATCTGTGATCTGTGGAGGCTGAAGAATGGAGGTAGAAGAAGAGTGAAGGTTGTTGAATCTTAATCCTATGGTGTAAAATAATTTATGTATTAAAACTACATAAAATATGTGGTTGTGTAGTAGACAGACCGGCTAAATACTTGCGGTCGATGACGAGGAAAGGAAAACACCCTTCCCTTCTACGATTGCTCGTGTCATCGGCTCGATCTCACCGGGTGCTCAGCTCAAGTATAATATAATTTGTGTACCGACAAGCAGACACGAAGAAAAACGACGCGCCGCGCGTGGACGCACATGGACCACGCGTACCGCAGTGCAGGGTTTACGTTCGTGGAAGCCTCTGGCAGATCGATGCGCGCGGCACGAGCCTAGCGGCTGCCGCTGTTCCGTACGTACCACACCGGCCGGTGGTTTGCCGCCTTCTGCCCGTGCCCGTGCCGTGGTTTGCGTTTCCTGTGCCGATGCGATCACGACTCACGAGACCAACCAACCGGCATTCGTCCGCTCCAGCTCAGCCAACATGAACGGGACACGTACGGGCCCTCCCTCCATCCCTCCTTCCAAGCTGCCCTCCGATTGGTTCAGCTTCAGCACGCGCTTCCTTAGCGGCGCTGCTGCTTCAATTCACTGTCCGAAGTGAATGAAAGATGTACAGAGAGTATATCGATCAATAACTCTCCTCAGGGCACTCACAATACAGACTCTACTATCAAGTCTAAGTCTATTTATTACCTTTTTATTTATTATACTTGGCTGATGTGGCAGTCTATTTATTGAAGAGAGAGGGAGAAAAAACTAGACTCCAAGTCTTATTTAGACTCTAAGTCTATGATATCTTCGAGGTAATAAATGACTTAGACTCTATGATAGAGTCTGTATTGTGAGTGCCTTTACTCAATAATTCTTGTCGTTTTCAACCAGATGTACTCTTGACCATCATCACAGACGTCAATTTTCGCCTCTCTAAATTTACGCATATGACTGTCGTTGCTCAATAATCCTTGTCGTCTTATTTATAAGACAGAGAGACGATGAGACCGAATTTTGCCAAGAGGACATTTTATTTACGCATAATAGGCAGAATACTCATTTTGGTCCTTCAACTATCGCAAAAGGCTCAATTTGGTCCCTAAATTTTCAAAATGACCACTTCAACCCTTAAATTTTTCTTTTTGGCTCAATTTTATCCCCGAACTATCAAAAGTGACCGATTTAGTACTTAAAATTTGTATTTTGCACACAATTTCATCCATGAATTATCAAATTCATTTTAGTCCTTAAACTTTTCTTTTTGGCTCAATTTCGTCCACGGTCCTACATGGAACATTATGTTGTCGTGCCTCATAACCTCCAGCACCACCTGCAATTTAAGATGGACAATCATTATTAGGTATCATTGTCCCTAATGTCATCTCAGCTACCGAATCGGATAGTACACTTTCAATTTCAACATTTATATCTATATTTTAAAATGAATATAAATATAGATATGAATATTCTTGAATATAAATTATTCTTCAATCCTATGAGAGTCTACGTTTGTACTAGGTCACGCAAAAAAAATAGGAGTCAAGAGGTATGTTGTTTTAGTGTCTTGCCAGAAACTGTAAAAATTCATTGTTCGTCAAAACTTTTAAAAGTTGCCCTCAACCATATTTAAAACCAAGAGTCGAAGATACTACCAAACTATTTTGGAGATGATCAAAATCGTTTGTAGAGACAATGCATTTCTTGAAAACTGGTTTTCAGTGCTGCACGATCGTAGTGTCACAACCGACAAGCCTCTGTCTTCCTTTTTTTTTGCTCAAGTGCGTCCATGGAAATTGAAACACGTGACTTCTTCATTCGCGCGATACCCCTACCACCACACCACACAATCACTTCGCTTGTAAGTATAGGTTGCTATCCTTTTACATTAAGCTCTATGAATCTTTCGTTGAATATTTCGGTCCATGAATGACCTCAAGTAAGAAAATCAAGTACAGAGTTTTAGATTGGATTTAGCACTACAACTTTAGTATGGGGTGTATCTCCGTCTGAAGTCGCTTTTAAAAAAATCCTAAACTTTGATTTTCAAAATATGAGAACTTAAAATGTAAACTTGGGCCCTCTGAAATGATATAAAAAAAAGAATAGTCTTTGACTATAAAGTTCTAGAGCTTATCATGCTCTACGATTTTGATAAAATTGTCTTCATGCTCTACAATTTTGATAAAATTGTCCCCATTCGAATTGTATGGACGGTTAGTAAGCTACAATGCAGCATAGCATCATAAATGTGGTTTACTATATTAACCGCCTCTGGAAAAAAACCACTGACTGTATAAGGATGATTATAAAAAAATTGCGTGTGCGTGTATAGTAGTGACAAGTGAGAAGTACACATTGATATGAAACAACTGACTGTGTAGGTAACCACTGCATGCAACACGTCTCCGGCACCAACAATTTGACGAACAAGCAAATGCTATTTCTGTATTGGCGCATGCTTTTCTGTACCCTCTGGAAAAAAATAAGAGACGATGTTAAGTAAAACCCATTTTGTGTGCTAGTGTTTGTCTTCCTCCGCGTACATGCGCCGCACACTGACGCGCGACACCCGTGTCGCTTGCCACGATGAACATTGCTACGTGCACTGGTGCACAGTGGCTGTTAGCACGACGACCCGTAGATAGCTGAGGCAGTCGTTGGTCCTCCTCCAGCTCTGACTCCTCCGTAGCTCTTGCCTCCGTCGTACAGACCGTTAACGTACATTCGGTTCGGTGGGCGGTGGTTTGCACGTCCCTGAGACCCTGACCAAGTACATTCGGTGGACATGGTGAAATCGAATTACATCCGAGCAGTATCCAACCGCGTTGTTTCTCCAGCACCGTCGTCGTTTAGGCCTGGTTCGTTTGGGTTTTTTTTTTTCGATAAGCCATGGCTAAAAGTACGACTGATTGGTTTGGTGTGAAAAAAAATACTGTTCATTGACTGATAAGTCATGGTTTATAAATCAAGTACGAACAGGCTGCTACACGCCGCCACTAGGTCTCCGTACGTCGATGTTGCCTGTCATTGATCCACAGGTTTTGTTTGAGATGAGACCACTGACCACAGCAGTTGTTTCGGCGCGCCGGCGCTGGGCGCGGGGCGGGGCCAGGCCAGCTCGGCCGTGCATGCATCCGTCCGCGCCGAGCCTATACGCGACTTGAAAAACGCGAGCGCACGGGCGGATGACGCTGACGCGGAGGTTCGTCAGTCTTTATAGGCGGGCCATGTGCGGGGCCCGCCGCCGCCAGGTTGTTGTCTCGATCGACAGGACTAAAAAATAAATCAAAATACTGTTTCAACTAATTATTATAAGAGAAAAATATTGTTCTATTTAGAAACACTGTTTATGTAAACAGTGACCATGTGAGTGGGCTGACCAGCCAGTCAGCCGAACACGGTTTCGAGCGGCGCATATCGGCCGTTCTCTCATCGGCCGCTGCAGATGTCTTCCGGGGATTCCAATCCGGCCATCCGGGCACCACGCACACCGCATACCGCAAGCCGAGCATAGAAGCAATTACAGTACGTGCTGCTAACAGCAGTCTTGTGCGCCGTCAGTTTCGGCCGTACCCATTCGGGAAGTACCGTCCTCCCTCATGAACAACCTTCCTGCCTTACGATAAGAAGAAGATGTACTCGTATCCACCCCCCGTCCTCGTCAGCCATCAAACCATACCAGCAAGCGTGGCTGATCCCGATATGCGTCCTGCCGATCCCGTCATGTGTCGCCACGCCAATCCGGCGGCCTATACTGGGGAAGTAGCAAACTGGAGAATCGTCTGCTTCTGATCAGCCACGATCCGCTTTCTCAATAAGATGCCAAGACGATGCTTGTCAGCTTGCTCGACTCGCATGGATGGCGGCTTGGCTTCTCTCCCTGATCGAGTCCAGGGTGAGCGAGCGAGCAGCCGAGCACACCGGCCGCCCCCGGACAGGAAACGAATCGAAGTGACGCGGTGCTATCGCAATGACGTGGCAGCAGCTGGCGTCGTGCCACAGGCACATGCAGATGCAGGGCCGTTTAGCTCGTCATGCAATGCAATGCAACAGGCACGATAATGTCCAGGACAATGACGATACTCTAGCGAGCGGATCACGCTACTTGCGTCGTCAAGATCCTGCAAGCGGTGTGGTGGCCGTTCTTTTCCCGCACTCCTACCCAGGCTCTCGGAGTGAGCTGATTACAAATTCTTGCCTCCTCCTACACGGCATTGAAAAGCTAAAATAGAATCGCTACTGGATATTAAGGTTTTCCTTTTTAGAAAGAACAAGGTTGTTCTTGTTCAGAATTTCAGATCATCAGATGGTTTCAAATTCGGAAAGATTTATTTCACCGTCTCCACGGACCAAGGACCATGAACGCCAATGGCTAAACATCGGCCTACGCTAAAACATGAAGGCGGTTGGGCTGGCAAGCTGAAAAAGAAGAGGAAGAAGTCCACATTATCTCTCTCAATTTTTACGCAAGTCTGTTTTTCCTCTCTGAACACTAAAATCGGATAAACCACCTCCCTTAACTTTTAAAACCATTCGTTTTACCTCCCTGACCAGTTATAAGTGGTTTTGTCTTCTTCTTTTTTATTTATTT